TTGTACTTCGTTCAATTCTGTATTGCCGATAGCGTTGTCGGGGAACTGATCAATCATTTCCATTCGTTAAAATTGTGTTTTTATTTGTTCTAACACATGTTTTCGCTGTATGACGAAGCTATGGAATGTTGTTAGGAAGCTTTGTTAACTTGTTTTTTGAGTTCACTTTCAGTTTCGATAGCAAATATATTTTTAGATTTTTTACCTACAAATTCCCAAGAATATCCCTTAAATTCTGGCACATTTTGCTCATCTCCCAACATGTCTAAAATACCCTATTTAAGCGACCAAAAAATACAACTTTGACAACCTACTGACCCGTTTAATATCTCAGCACTTGAAGGACTAACAATAGGCCATGGGCTAGCAAAAGCTTATCACAGCCAACTTACAGCTTGTCCCATATTTCCCATCACTTAATTTCGATCAGAATTCAAATTGGCTTTAAAGTCCCTGCTCTAAGCCAAGTTAGAGACTGTGTGGTATCAGCTTAAGGGATTCGATGAGAGTCTAAGTCAAACAACTAGGGGGTGTAAAGAATGGGGTACTTACCACACTGGAGAGATGGGGGCGCAGGAGGTTGAAGAAGGTGGATGAAGAAGCCCTCGATGAGGGGGCGTTACTTGGGCTCTGCCTACTGACCCAGTTACCGTTAGTTACTGTTACAGTTTCAGTTGCAAGTACTCTGGTGACCTCTTAAAAGCTCGTTTAAGCTAGTTTTCGGTTATCTTCAGGCAGGTTATTCTCTTCTTTTTTTTTAGTAGATGGGTTCACATTGGCAGTGTTTGGTTGTAGAAAATTCACGGAGATTGATTGATTTATTTTTAAATTCTTTATCGATTTACTCTTAAAGGGTTGCTTATTAGCGTTAGGTAAAAATAAGATTTTCTCTATAAACTGGACTTAGCCAAATCGTAGATTAGAAGTTAAATATATATACTTTCTTGGGTAATTTATGACTTAAATGCACTTTTAGAGTGTTTAACTAATTTTCACTAATTATTCGTTTTTGGTGGTTTAACAATTGATCTCGTTCTGTTGGTTTAATTGGCTTGGTTATGCTTTCGGTCGGTTTTAGGTTTTTTTTTACTATTTTCTATTTCATATTTTTTTTGTTGGATTTTTCCGTTTTGCAGTTTTTGGCCGCACAGCGCGTGAAATGCGAAGAAAAGCGAGAAAAACACGTCCGCACTGGGCGAAGAGCCAGGAGAACCTGAAAATCAGTACCCAACAAGCGGGCGAATTCCGTATCACCCCCGCTCTCTCTTCCTCTTACCATCGCCTGCCATTCGCTCTCGCCGCACCTCTCTCACCCGCTCTCTCTCTGAGCGCCGCCGCCTTTGGAGTCCTGCCTGTGACATTTACAATGTCAGCCTCCGAATGCGGATCCCAATTCGCCGCGGCGAAGAGAGACTGAGAGAGAGAGTCGGAGCGTGAAAAGCGGTGCTTGGGGCGAACAAATTTGTTTTCGGCTTTATTGTTTTTTCGCCGGGAAACTCCTGTGGGCCCAAAAACGCTCTTTTGATTTTGCATTTTGTCGTGTTGGGCTTTTTCCGGCAGTCATATGTTAGCCACTCACCTACAATTTCGAGTGCATGGCATTTAAGTGGCTATCGAAGGTTTCAAAATAATTATTATTTAATTATTAATAAATTGAATATGATAAGAAGCTATGTTATATACTTTTAAAAGCCTGAAATCGCGTAGTATAAATTAAAAAATTATCTGCTGATTTTTATTCCGTGCTAACAACTCTTAAATGCCATTGAAATGAAGTACTTTGTAAATCAGATTCATTGACTTTGATATGTAATAAAGGCAAGTTCTTATAAAGTTTTATAAATTTTTAAATTTTTTTTATGCATAAACAAAACTAGAAAAACGTTCTTGGTTTGATTTAAGGTTTCTTTAGGTAATAGTCTAAAAAATAATCAATATTTTCTATTATTCTCAATTTTAATAATTTAGCTCAAATCATTTTCCCGGAATTTATAAAGCATGTATTACCTTTCTTTTGTGTTTCGGAAAGCTTTTGAACTGTTTTCTGTTCAACCGAAACTATTAAAAGCTTCTTGCTCTCAATCCATTCATGTGTGAGCTGGGAAAAACGATTCTGGCACTGAGGAAAATTTTCTTATAATAGGTGTAAATTAGTATCCTACATAAAAAGATCTTTCATCTTAACAAATTTCTTCCTAAGCTGTTATTCTAGGAGAAAATATAAGATGAACTTTGTCTTTGATGTATACAGTTTCTAGCTTTCCCGAAACTATTCTTCATTTTAGAAAAGAGAAACTTTGTATTAAGACAGTTTAATATTTTAACTTTCCCTAACTTCAGAGACATTTTCGACAGTGTCTTAATTACATCCCAAAACAGCGGTAAATAATAGAGAAAATAGGATACCAATAGTAGGCCCACTAGCCCCCATCACGATATTGCCGAGTGGGTGGCCACCGCAAAGCACCCTTTCGCGGTCATCAGGTGGTGGCCATGGTCCGCTCATGAGTTTGTCATTACGGGCGCGTGCCTTTTGGCCAGCGATTTGAGCCGAGGCTATGGACTGATAAGTGGCTATTCACCCAGCAGGGCCCCTTGCCCCTTCTCCTTCCCAACAAGTGTAAGGCAATTGCTTTATAATTCAATTGCTGACGTCGTCCCTCCGCCAAGATCAAAGAGCTTCCCTAATTATCTAGTTGGACTCTACTTGATTGATGGTCTGGATTGGCGTTTGCTTGGCGGTGCACTTATTTATTTTTGGTGGCTAACTGGTTACTGGGTGCTTTGTGTGGTACTTGGCTAAGTTGCGGGTAAGGCTAATTAGGTGAAAAAGTGCGAGGAAGTGGGTGGTTGGGGGTAGTCTACGAGATGCTCTGTTTGCTGGCGATGTGGTCGCTGACTGTAGAGTATGTGATCGTGCTCCTGCTGGCAGGGATCCAAGCTCGGTGTGGGGGTGGCCGGTGGCATTGACCTTTCCTCTTGGAGTACTTCATCCTCGGGAAAATGGTGATATTGTGGTCTCGGGTCAAGATGCCTTTCCCTCTGGTATTGCCTTTCCATCATTTCCTCTGAGCTTCTTGGATACGAAGGATTTCTCCTTATAGGAGTTGGTGCGAAACTTCTCATTTTTCTCTCAGGTCTCATCAAACGCGGAATCAAACCTGCAGGAATTACATCCCAACTCATTTGTGGCTGATTGGGAGTCCGTGAAGGTTGCTGACTCACTTCATCACTGCAGTCCAGGCCCCTTACAATGTTGTTCATATAGATAGAGGGAGGAATGCGTTTCCTGTACTTGGGTCTTGGTTTGGGAACTATCTGTTTGTTGGTCACAAAGTAGTCCCTTTGCTGGGGTCCCATTGGAGGCATTCGCTGAAGTGGCTTTGCGAAGTTACCCTCATACAGAATGGGTTCCACATAATTTTTCACGGGCTTGCGGAAACGATATGGTGGAGGGGGTCTTGGTCGTTCTGAAGGATAATAGAAGAATTTGATTTCAGTTTAATCTGCGATTTAATCTAGTTATTCTTGATAACTTGAGCTAACCCCTTTCCCCCCTTTTGTAGATTTATTTCTACTTACCAGCTCCTTGTGTTGGCATAAACTGGGGACACAGATTGGTATCCTGCTCATCGGTGTCCTCACAGGGTTCTTCTGTGGTGTTAGTAACTTTATTTTCAGACTGATCGGAAGCTGCAAGGATAAATCGTAAAGTTACCCTGTAATATTATTATACAATTTTCCCAAACTAACCATCACCCTCGTCATCTTCACATCCTGAGTTTTCCGGCACCTTGGTAGCTTCCACTTCATCTTCGCAGCTCTCCACGGTTGTGGTTTCCGGCTTGGAAGTGGTGGTAGAAACAGTCGTTGTAGGCACGACCGTAGTGGTGGTGTTAACTTCCGGTTTAAGTTTCAGTTCGGCAGCTTCGGTGGTCATTATGACCTGGATGACCTCGCTGGGTTGGCTGACATTATCTAGCTTGATCTGCGGGGGATCGGGCACATTGGGAGACTTTCTCCTGGAACTCTTTTGTCTTTCCCTAAAGGTCTTCAAACGTTTTAATTGGTTGGCGGTGAAAGGGGGTTGGGTTGTGGTAGTTGTTGAGGTGGTGCTAGGTGGTGTTGTGGTGGTTTCCAGCTCAGTGGTGGTTTCTGGTGGGGCTTCAGTGGTTTCTTCCTGTGGTGTTGTAGTTTCCTCTACAGTTGTAGTTTCCAAAGTGGTTGTTGTGCTTGTTGTTGTACTGGTGGTATTGGGTTTGACCCTTGGAACTAATTTTCTTATGTTAATAATTTTAGAATTCGGTTCTGCTGTTGTTGTTGTTGAGATGATGGGAGCATTTGTGGTGGAATCCAGTGTCCGATTATTGGGTAATCCCAGCAACACATTTTCTTTCCCACTCTTCTTAGCTTTACGCCTTGGGTTGCATTTCTTGCTTTTAGGTTTCACTGTGGTGGTGATTGGGTTTTCAGCTATTAAAGAGAAATTGGCACAAGGATCCTGCTTCAGCAGCGGAGTTCTTAGTAGGAGTAATTTAACGAAACATGGATGATCGATGGGCAGTCCATCCTGAAAAGATGGTTCACAGGGAGGTAGAAACTCCAGGCACTCTTCTTTGCTCTCCTCATAATCATCAAATAGGTTGCTAAATTCCTCCTGGGAGCTACTTTCATCGCAACCAATGGAGGCAGCTGGCAACACGTCTATATCCCTCTGACTTCTACCATTGCTGGGATAACCCTCAGCCTCCCGCAGCATCATATCCAGAAGTTGAATTTCCAAAGGCGATCTAAAACTTGATCAAGTTTTTATCTGTCTAATCTCCTCCATAGCTCTTGTCAACTCACCCAAAAGCTGAAGGTCCCCAAAGTAGCACCCACATTAGCAGCAGCAGCATCTTCAATCGAGTGTTTGGTCCGACGGTTTCCATGGAAATGTTGCCCCAACCCGATCGACATTTGGCTTTTGTTGAGTTCACGTATCTGTCGGATGCAGAACGCTGCACTCTCACTTTCTGCCAATTGAGACATCGGTCTTTCCGATCTGTAAGACACCACCCACCACCCATCACTCCCCTCTGCCGAAATAAAATCATAGTTTTGCGGTCAGCTTTCTCATTAGACTTTTCTGCCATCCGTCTGGGCGGCGTCTTTTTCGCTCTGCTCTTGTTTTCACTTTCGTTCTCTACGTGACCTGTGCTGAGCTCGGCACTTTTTTGCTTTTGTTTACCATTTCGTTCATACTCTGTTCTAGTTTGGTGATACCCTGAAAGGGGAGGGTGTGTTAGAATAAATATGTATTTGGTAACATGAAGTGAAATGGTGTTCGTAAGTGTTCGTAATATGTGTAACATATTTTGAGATATTTAAGAAGACCAATCTTCTTCTGGTACTCAAACTATTCATACCCATAATACCTTCTAATAACTCATTAATATCATTATTAAAGGGAATTCTCTAACCTACATACTAACCATTTTTTAACTTTTCTTTTTGGCTTATACTTTTTATTTACTTAATTTATTTAACTTATTATTGTAACCGTTCGATCCCACGTCTCGATTGCCTTGTTTCCGTTTAATGCTAATTACTTTTATTGTCACTATCGCGTGGGCGTAAACCAGAAGCACGGCTAAGGGGGTTGGGAAACGGAGGCTCCATGGGGTCTACTGCCAAGTAATTAATACGCATCGAATGCTTGTGGTTGGCTCACGAAGCAAAAACAATTGGCAGCATTTCTTGGCCAGCTTGGCATTCCGAGAACATCTGAACAATTAGAAAAGCAATTGCAAGCTGGGCATAAAATATAAACCAGAACAATAACAACATTTTTCAAGAAGTGGGTGAATAAATATTGTTAACCGAGTTCTACCTCTGATTTTGTCTGTTCAATTTTCCCTATTGAATTTCCATTTGTTTAAGCAGTTCGTGACAATTGTTAGGTGGAAATTGTAAGCGGAGAGAGTCTATCGCAGCAGTGAGATGTAAATATAACTTTCACTTGCTGATGTAATTTATAAACTTATAATGAAGTGGTTCTTTCTGTTTTTATGATAAGATGAAGAAGATAACTTCTTATAAGTAATAAAATGATTAAATAAAGCAATTATTATCACATACAATCATTATGCAGATGGCAGATAAAATTATTTAAAGGTTGTCAAGAGCTGAAAGAATAACTTTAGCTGAGCCTACAAAATATTTACAACCGACAAACATTCGCTTTTGGGAGCACTCGAAATGAATGTGGAAAATCTGCCTTCCCTTCGTCCTGACTTTTTGACCTTGTCTCTGTCACATTCCAAAATGTCAGCTGGCGAAAAGTACGTGTTTGGGAAATGAGCTTAGGGCGAGTTTTCATCCTGTCATTACCAAATGGCATTCGCGTGTAATTTGTCTTGTCTCTCTGCAGGAATCTTCCCGATTTCCCAGCTGTTCTATGTAAAAATGTCCACTCGCTTGGGGTGTTCGTTCTCAATCAATATTTGCCTGCCAGCCAAATATTTTCCAATCAAATGGAGACCACGAGGACTCCGGTTTACTAAGCAAATATTGTCTTTAAGTCGCATATTAAATGAAAACCGTTTGGTATCTCAACAAGGCCCTTTTTTCCTCTGCTATCTGTGGTATCCTTGTTATGCGGAACATGCAACAGTTTTTCGGGACCCGACACGCAACACTCGTTGAATAATGTTGACAGAAGCGTATCAATGTCACAAGGAAAGTGTGTGAGGTCATGGGACATGAGACATGACAGATGGCTCAACAGCCTTTGAGGCGACAAAATAACAAGCCAATAAAACAACTCCTTAACTTGAACGATATGTAAGGGAAAAGTAAACGTTGAGAATGAAAAAAAGTTTTCTGGATTTCTGACTGGGAGTGAAAATATATAAAGTAAACTCAAATCAAAGCTTAATCAGAATATTAAAAGTTTTGCTAATTTTGTATATGAATAAATTTCTTTAAATTATTTAATTAATTAAATTACCAACTTTTATATAGACTTAAAAAAGGTTGGAAATAATAGTAAAAACCTGACTTGAAATGTCAGTTGGTTGCTAAATGGCTAGGCAAATATGTTTTTAGGGAATTTACATTTCATTTTCGATAAACTAAAGCTATATATGTAGGTTTGTCTTAAGCAAGCTTAACTGTCCGTTGAAGAACCCCCGAGAGCAGAGCTCAACAGAAGTTAACCCGTGCCTTTCATTGGGGTTAGGTGAGACTTTGGGCTCTGTCTCGTGTTAAGCAAAGTCGCGTGGACATCGTGAGGAGTCAATTAAACAATTGATAAGACCAGTTATCTAACACTTAAGGTTACCGCTTTGGGGCCGCTGCTCACTTCGGTTTTGACGGGTTTGAAGCTGTTGAAACGGCCTCAGGTGGGACACTGACACTGCTATCTGCGATCAATGTAACCGGCCGAATGTTGATAAGAGTTTGCCACTTCGTCATTGGCCAAGTCGGCTACAGCAAGGTGATGGATCGAATATTTTTTATAGCGGCAGTACGTTAATTGCTCAAATGTTTGCATGGCTGCACATCACTGTTGGGAACCGAGCGAAAAGTTTACTAATTTGTTATTTTTAAATAACTTGCTTTGCGTAGGGACACATGATCTCATGAATAGGATCTTGTATGCAATTACAAAGGATATTGAAGGATTTTTAAAAGCAGATTTTGTTAAAAGAATCGAATATTGGATTCGAAATTTATAGCTTAAACTTGATAATTGGCTTGTGCTCATAATTGGTGAGATTTATTTATTTCTATCTACATCATTCAATTAGTATTCATTATTAATCACTTAATTAGTTCGGAGATTCATAAGAAGTCTTAACAATTAAGAAAAGCGTGAAATTATGTTTAGCAATATGTAAACCCTCAAAAAGCTCTAGTTATTCATATACCCTTTTATGTTATTATGGGTTGGAAAAAGTCGTTAATTTCTTTTATGCAATTAGATTTTCAGGTTTCTCGCCTAAACTTAGACAATTAATGTCAAACGAAGTTTTGTCATGATGCCCAATTTCGTTATAAGAAGATACAAATGAAAGCTTTTAAGAAAATACATAATTAAGGTGGAGAATGTAATACATGCACGAGGATACCAAAGCGTTTCATGTTACTTTTAATGACTATTTTCATCTTTATCTAATGTCCTGCCCAATATCTTCGCTTTCAAACTGAATACTCAGTTTAGGCTTCTAATTTTTTTTCCAAGAAAGACTCTTTGAACCTTTAAGTTAATATTATAAACCGTGTTTAGAGGTTTGAAAATAAAGAAAGTCACAGTGTCGCATATATCAGCTAGGAGGTGAGGATTCTCATTCAGTAAATACAAAGAATTTCATCAGTAAATTTTTCTAAGATGTGTGCAATATATAGTTTTTTTTTGGTTTTTGTCCCCTAATATCGTTTTTTAATCGTCTTTTCAATTCGCCGGTTTGGCTTGAATTTGCTTTATGTTCGCGTCAACAGTTATGGAGACCATAAACAGTGACTCCATCCACCTTTTATTTTCGTTACATAGTCTGTAAACTCACCTTAAGCAGCTTATCAAAGTTCTCCACCATGATTTAGGAAATCGCTACAAAAACGCGCCGAAAATGCGCATGATCAACAAGGGCGATTTAAGACGCCCCAAATGTATATTTTAAAATTTTAAGATTAAAAACTTCAAAAGTATCTGTTAAATTCGGTACTTAAAATTGTAAGTTAGTGAAATTTTAAAATTTTTTGAGGAAAATATATTTTATTTTAATTTTCAAGTTTTGCATTTAAAAGCAAGTTTTCTTTCGGAACATAAAAATGAATTGTTTGCCAAAACTGAAGGATTCTTTGTGATTTGAAAAATTTCCTTATAAGAATGATTTTACATGATATATGTTTATGATGTAACCTTTCCTTTTGGAAACCTTAGACTCCCCCTTGGACTCTCCTTTAAACCCAAGCCCAACGAATAACAAATTTGATAATTATTTTTATGTGAAACTTTTTATTTCATTTCAGTTTTGTATTTTTTTTGGTTTGTTTTGTATGTTTAGATACTTATTAAAATTGTTTTTGTTTTTGTTTTTGTTTTTCGTTTTCGTTTTTGTTGCTGTGTGTTGTTAGCGTCTGCTTTTCTGTTGTTCTTTGTGTGTGTGTGTGTGTTCGTGTTTTTTTTGTGGGTTTTCCGTTTTGCTAAATGAAGTTTTGCGATTTTTTTGAGATTTTTTCTTTGCGGCGGTAGCTAATGTTTACTATATAGTAATTATATAGATAAATGCATGTATGCGCTCGTGTGTGTGCCTGTGTGAGTGTATGAAGGTGAGTATGTGTATGAGTCCGGCCCTTAGGCCTTAGCTTTCAGATCGTTCTCTGTCGTTCGGCGTATCCTTTCGTTCTTTTTGCTTATCATTTCAGTAATATTTGTTAGGAATGGAAAAAAATTACAAGCCATAAAGGTAGAAAAAAACTTTACAAATTACATTTTCAAAGAGCGCAAGGGTGGATAGAGGTAGGGGGAGGTGGGAGAGTGAAAGAAAGTTAAGGGGAAAGACGGGCGGCAATCCCGTCTATTTACAAAAGTATTTATCCTCGAAACGCTGGCAGTAGTCGCAGATCAGCTGGCAGCATCGCCCGTTGTTGAACCGACACCGGCACTTCTCGACCTGCTTCACCACCTGCGTGGTGTAGCCACGCCCACAGCACAGGGTGCCACAGTTGTCCGGGTGCAGGCACTGGCGGTCCTTGGTGACCGCGCAGTAGGAGGGCGAGGTCTCCAGATAGTACAGCGTCGTGTATTGCGATTGTTGGGGCTGCAAGTGGAGAGTTTTGAGTTTGAGATGTTTATAGTTAATAATTTATAGATATTTAATTAACACAAGATTGCAAACTATAGTTTATCTACTTTGTTGACCTAGAATGCTAAGCCTTCCATCCTATTTTTCAGATTTCTATAACATTTAATTTACTTTCTCTGAACTCGAAACTGAAACTCACTTTCTTGCGTCGCTGTTTTGGCTTTTTCATGCGACTCGAGGAGACCTGGCGCATAGATCGCTGGTTGGGCGCCTTTCTAATGGCCTCGTTGTACTTCTGCCTCAACAGCGTGGCCGTGGCATTGAAGTCGGCCATCTTCTTCCAGCAGGTCTTCATCGAACAGGAGCCGGAGACGCCGTGGCACTTGCACTTGTCCATCATCTGCGAGGAGACAGCCTCTATGCCGACCTGCAATAAAAGTTTAGTTAATAAATAAGTTCATAGACAAGATCACACTCCCTTTTACCTCTGAGTCATGTCGCAATATCTCGCTGACCTCGTCTCCCTCGCCGCCACGCAAGTCCAGGAAGCTGCGGGTCACCCGCTTGCCGTGCTTCAGGTTGTCGTTGCAGCCGCCCCACTGAAAGTCCTGCGCCTCCCGATTGTGCTTCTTGGGGCCGCAGCTGCATTTGGTCATCCGTCCCTCGGCACAGGCCCTGGCTATGGAGTGGGTCATGGCGGCAGCTGTGAGGGCGTGGACGAAGGCCGTCTCCTTGTAGAGTTTCTTGAAGATGTTCCGCTTGCCACGCGTCTCGATCGAGCAGTTCCAGCGGTCGTAGCGGAACTGCTCCTCGCAGTGGGTGGTGGCCAGACGACGGGCTTCGCTGAGTGTTCCCGGGAGGCCAGTCTCCTTGCGGCATTGGTGGTTCTGCCGCCGCGTGGCAGGCATGTATCGGCAAGGTCCTCCCACTTGACCCTGCGAGGTGAACACAGCCATCACTGTATGCTCGGAGATAAAGTGTTCGCTGAAGGAGATAGAAATGGTTGAGATTTGTTAGAAAAAGGTCAAGAAAGCATTATACCACTAAAAACTTTAAGTGAAGAAAATATTACTTCCCAAATGCTGTGGTTTAGAGTGGCTCAATTTCAGGCAATACAGCGACACCTACCGCTGGGGTACTGAACCCTTAATTCTACGTCCATTTTACATACGAGCATTGGACGCCCTCTAGCGCTTGGTGGACTCACTTCTAAAGACAACAAGTTAGCGGTTTAGTTACCGTTTCATTGTAAATTTGAATTCATATGACTTTCAGGCTTTTATCTACCAATAAATAATCGGATTTCTAATCAATTTACCAACAAATAACCCAAATCTGAAACACGAAAGATATTTAGAACACTCTAAACTTTACTGCCAATAATAAACCGCCAAATGAGAGACTTTTATTTGATTTACCAAAAGTTACAACATAGGCGAGAGCGCTTTTTCTTATCAGTTTTCCACAGATTCGGCTTCTAGGAATGCCGGAAAGAATTTCCCTCGAATTGCTTTCACATGAGCAACTGCAAGCTATATCTATTTTCCAGTTATTTGAGAGCTTATTATGGGAAGGCAGTCTTTCTTTTTTAAAAACAATTTCAAAAAGAAGCCGCCGCTTCACCTCGCTTCGCACTCGCTTCCTGTCCAGCTTCGGTTATCATTTGACGGCACCCACTCCCTTGGGGCTGTGTGTCGGGAGTATGCTGATTTGCAGGAAATCTTAAATTCTCATAAAACTTAAGTGCATCGTAAATTGGCGTATGAGTAACGAGCTCAGCATATCTGCGGCTATGCGGCTATCTGGGTATCTGGCCTATCGGACTATCTGACTATTTCCGTCTCCGTCTGCGCCTCGCGGCCACGATTTCCCACTTTTATTCTCCGGTCCATCTGCCCTCCATTTCGATCTCAACTTTCGCCATCGAAAGTCTGTTAATAATATTCCATTCCGATTCCGATTTGTGCTACATTTTGGGCGTGCTCACTCTTTATGGGAAATTAATTTGCCACATTTTCGCAATTAATTAATTAATTGAATGTTGGAAATGTTTACAAGTAGTTTGCCTCGGCTTTTGGCTACATTTGTTTGGATCTGCGAATGGAAATCTGCTCCTGGCCAACTTTTATCTATTTATCTCCCGCTGTTTTATTTCGATATTTGACGTAGTTTTCGGCTTGATTAAAATATCATTTGCCGATGGATGGAAAACTAGTATGGATTGGAAATTAATTGGCAGCTCTAGAGGAGTGGATTGCTCTTCAATTTGTTGGGGAAATGTGGTCTTGAATATTGATATTGATATTAGTTCATATTATGAACTTATCAACTCGTGCTCGTTCTAATTTGTGAGAAAGAGTGACAAAAATCCTTATAATTCATCAGGAATAAGTTCCTATATAAGTTAAACATTGGATATATCTTTTAACTTTTCTAGTTCTCTGGCTAAAAGTCATAAGAACTTTTGAATAGATTTACAGAAACTAAAAGCAATTTGAATTGACATATGTCGATCTCTCTTTTGTGACTTTGTTATGGCACAGCCAACACCCTCGGGGTCTTCAATTACAGCTCAAAGCCCATGTAAGTCGTCATGTAAGCTGTGCATTGTTATCACATCCGATTGGGTTGTTGTTGCTCTTGCTGTTGCATCGGCAAGTGCAATGCAAAGCGCATTAGGGCAAAGCCCACGGCCCCTGACTCCGGCTCCCCTTTCACCCGTTTCAAGTTTGGATAATGCACGTCGCCTTAGCCATTGAAAACATTGAGGAATTACAAGCCGTAAGCTTAGGCAATGGGTGATAGGTAGAGGGAGACCTGAAGATAATCCTTTTGACAAAACGTTTACGGGGGGGCCAGACAATTGGCCAGGCAAATGGCTAAAACAATTAGCCAGGCGAAAGCAGAAGCCAATCTCTTCTTTGGGGCCAGCACTTTAATATCACAAATTTCTGGCCGCCAGCTAAACAGGCGAGTGCAGGAGATATAGATTTGTATCTTTCAGATACAAAGTAGTCGAGAGCTATTAAAATGGCCACAAAGCAAAACAAACTGTGAAGAGTTGGTGGTTAGGCCAAACAACGAATTGATGGACAGACGGACGGACGGATGTGTGCCAGCAAACATGCGGAGGGGGGGAGTGGATCGGAGAAAAAGATAGCGCCGTAAAACAAAAGTGTTGATGGATATTTTCCTCGTGCGATGATGACGCTGAAGTTGTGTGTGTTTCTGCTCCTGCTTTGGGTGCTCTTTTTCCACCAGCTTTTCCCTCATTTTCCCTCTGCATTTGTGGAGATTCATCAAATTTTCAGAAACGTAAAATATTCAACAAACACACACACACAGGTACCCGGGCATATATAAATCCCTTTGTGCTGCGGCAAAAGCATTTTATGGACTTTACAGTTTTTAGTTGCTGCTGCTGTTGATGTTGATGTTGATGTTGCTGCTGGCCCCAAACAGCATAGCAAATGTGCAACAGCAACAGGAGGCAGAGGCGGCAAGTGCAGCAGCCAGCGATTGAAGGCAGTTCGAGAAACACGAAAAGTACACAGAAAGATTAAAGCAACTCTCCAAAGTGTTTCATATTTGGTAATGCTTCTGGGTGTGGGAAAAATGTTTGATTACTAAAAGCAACTTTATACTTTGTACAGAAATTACCTAAGAAGTCGTTTAATATTTATCAAATTTAATGAAAGGAAGATCTAGCCCTACTTTTCTCTGTGTATTTGAGGATGAAAACTGAAATCAACCCAGGCAGGCACCCATAAAATCTTTTTTAAAGTAGCATAAGCATATCGAAAGCTGAAAATGCTCTTCCGACTTGAACTTTTTTATGGACGTTTTTACCATTTGCATTTTATTGCCAAAACATAAATGCAGCTGCTCGCTTTCCCTCCTCCTCCTCCTCCTCTGTACGTTCCAAAACGCATTGCTTATTTTTAAAACTTGCATTGACTTGCATTGGGCTACCAACTCTCCTCCAGTCGATTTCTTTTTCTGGGCATGAGCAAATGTTTGTTTGTTTGCCGGTCGCCTTTTGTTTTGGTTTCCTCTGTTTGCTTTTGGCGTAGCTGTCGCATAATTCAACCAGCCGCCCCCTCCCCTCCCCCTGAGAGAGCATTCAATTAAAAGGCAAGTGCAAATACTGTAACCCAATCGGATCGGAAAATTGATGAACTTAAGCAAAAAACGCGACGCGGTCGCTTTAATTGATGGCTGGCAAATGAAGCAGAAGAGCGCTGCTTTTGGGACTCTCAGTTTCTCCAGATTCTGTTCTTTTCAGCTTTTGGTTTTCTGCTTTTCCTGCTTGCTTGCTTAGCAAGAATGGGGCCAATGAGGCGTCATTTCTATGGGCAGCAATTTGCTGAGACAAGCAGTTTTCTCAAATACTATATGGCCACAGCCAGTCGTTAATAAGAGGCGATCATTAAAGCCGATTCGGCTCGTGAATATTCGAAATATAATGGC